AAAAAAAAAAACACGTCAAAAAAACAAGGGCAATATAAAACAAAGGCAATGCTAGTGGGTTTTAAAATTTGCTTGGTTTTCACTTTTTCGTGTTTGTTACCGTGTTACTATTTCTCTGACATTGTTAACTTCATCAGTGCAGATCTTTCACATATAGCATGTTAATCGTATAGAGAAATGAGCTGCAATGCTAAAGACTTGAAAATTCACAGCGTGAATTACAGCAGCTCAGTGCTTTCAACAGAAATATTTTCAACAGAATTTTAACCGCAACTCATGATTGCTCATGGGGTTAAAGCTACTGAATTAGCTTGGTTTTAAAAAAAATAAAATTATTGTTTAATTATTAGTTATTATCATATGGAAATGAGGTTTGAGAGACTGACCTGCAAATAGGCTCCCTCAGTAAATCCTGAACATACTGGCCAAATTCAATCTAATCTTGAGAGAAGGGTAGTGCCCTTGAAGATATTTGGTGACCTGCAGAGGGAAAGAACTGCCGCTCTTAGCAGCAACAGAGTTCACTGCCTGCTGCTACTTACTCTGTCAAAGGGAGAGGGGATGGGGATGGGGCAAAAAGGGAAAAAAGAGGCAGGAAAAAAGTGTGAAGAGATCAGATACGTGGCAGTCAGGATGGCAACTCCATGAACTGAGTCCAACCTCTCTTCAACCTCTCTCTCTCCTTCACTGCTTAAGGAACAACTTTTGTTTTTTCTTGGGCAAGTAAAATGTTATTTAACATGCCTGTTCTGTGTTGTTTCTGCTTCTCAATCTTGAAGTTTGAAAATATTTTTGCAAAATGCTTGTTTGCAGCTTTAGTTTTGACCAAGAAAGTAAGACTAAAGATGGTAGTTTTTGTTTTGGAATCCAACCACCGATGCAGGCTGCTGTTGCTGAGGTGGATGCTCTCCAGAGCAGCAAATCTGGGTCCATGTGAATAACCACACACATGATCTTGTGTGGCTGCCCCCACCCTTGGTTTTTCAACCAAGTGGGTTTCCCCTCATTTCCCATGTCCCACAAACCCAGCATAGTCACTACAGCAGAAGTGAAATCGCTACACATTCCTCAATTCATAATGCAGCTTGAAGTATATATATATATTAGGAAGGCAGTATCTTCAACTACCATTTAAATGACCGCAGAATCACCATGAGAGAAAAGCTAAGTGAAAGGAGGACATAAACGGTTCATAGGGCTGATTCAACACAGAAGCTGCAGTGCATCAAACAGAAAAAGCAGGGATTTTTTGTCCTTAAATTTGCCCCTCAATAGCATGAGGGCAGTAGGAACCTTAAAATACTTGAGATACTCCACCAGAGTTTGAGTTTGCCACAAAAGATAAACAGATTATCCTCCAAGCTTTGCTTTGCTGACCGTGTTGTGCACAAATTCTACCCCCAAAAGAGGTTCTGCCCACTTGGCTGAACGTTTCACAATACAACTGTAGTACTACAAAGAAGGGATTAACTCCAACAACTGCTAACAAGTGGGAACTGGAAAAAACCCACAGCTAACCACCGCCCCCCTGTGACTAATTCTACTCAGAAGGGTGACCCATTAATCCCTCACCTCTTGAATTTATCACCTACCTCTCTCAGCCAGTTACTTCTGTAAACAGAGATTATCAGTACAAGAAAATGAGCTGATTTTAAGGACTATGCTGCTTTCTTTCTATTCAGTACCTATGTTGTATATACTACTCTATAGTGTATCACTCACCAGCTCCCCAAATGACCTTTTTCATCAGTTTTCCTCAAATTGCCTCCTCCTAGCTAAGACCTTATTGAAAGGCTCATTCTTGTCCACTGATATTTGTCCTGTTTGGCAGCTCTGCTCCCTACCCCTCTTCCTTGGCACACTACAGTTCTGTTGCTCTCCTTGTGAGTCTCCAGCAGTTCTTGAGTACAAGCAAGAATGAACATCTGTTACACCCAGAAACTTAAAAGTTGATTGACAGAAAAGGATATTTTAAGTCAATGCCAGGCAGGAAGTTGGGCAAAATTTAGTGTTTAGCTAAACACTAAAAACACAGGCCTCTATTTAAGGTCACATTTCTATGAAAAAAAAAATCTTTTTTAACTTCAGGTCTAGGTCTGACAAAATGTTACCTGGTAGAATACAAGATGGAAATAATTTCTGTAGACTACTACAAAGTCAATTTATAGTTATCAGAAGTTTCTTACTTGAGTTGGGTGTCCTTTGGGCAAAATTCTAATCTATCAAAATCTACAAATGGAGAGAATAAAATCCAGTTAGTAGTGCTGGGTTTTTTTTTCCCTAAATAAAGGAAAAATAATAATTTTTAAGTACTAGATCAATGCTTACCTAGGCCACATTCCCCAACTGCTATTATCTTTGTCTTATTTTCTTCAATCAGATTTTGTAATTCGGATAAATACTGATCAGGGTTACTCTGCTCAAATTCTCCACAGCGGGTAGGATGGCAGCCAACTGTACTGTAAAACATATCTAAAGCAAGAAAAAAGAATTATATAAAAAGCAATAAAAAAGAAATATACAAATTACAGCTACTATCTTGTTTTTAGCTCTTAACTTTAAAAGAAACTTCTCAATGTCTTTTTATTTTTTGATGGTTCTATTACTCTAATATTTTTCTACTGTAACAATGGCAGACAGTATCTCCATAAAGGTTCTTTTAGAACACATCATTTAATATACTTTAAAACTGAAACTCATAGAGGAGCAACTATTCTGTGGGAGAAGTCCTCAAAGAGAAATATGACTTGTTCAAAACGGATCAGGTTATCCCCCAGCAGGAAAATTCGTAGATAGCACAGCAGTCCCCTTGCATTAGCACAGAATTTATCAAAATATCTGGCCTGATTTACCTAAAAATCTAATCAGTACTCTTAGTTCTGGTATTTAGATAAGTGCCTTTATGGAAGATGTAAACACATGAAAGGTACTTGAGCACATAAGGGCCTGAGCAATGTCACCTAATATTAAAGCCAGTCCTGCTTTACTGGGGGCACAACGGAGGAGAGGTTGGGCCGGTTTTGCCTCCTCAGGTGCATTCCAACCATTCCAATTCCAACATAAATTATTCTAAAACTGTATTCTGTAAGCAAAATTTTAATGCATGTTTAAGCAAACAAAATTATCTGAATGATATTTGCCAAAGGGAAAAAAAAAAGTGGGATACTTTGCTTTAAACAGAAGTGGAAACTGGGAGAACTAGAAAAGAGAAAGATACCTCCATTGTTCACTTTGGTTGTGATAGCTTGGTAAGTAAAAGAAGCAAACAAGCAAAATCCCACCAAGTAACATGTGTTACACAGAATAGAAACATTGTGGCTATCTCTGAAAGGAGACTTGTCCTTTTGAAACCTGTGCAATTTGACTTTTCTAAGCATTTGTATTACTTAGAAATACAGATAAAAACTGCAGGAAAAACTGACTCCCTCCAACATCCAGGGATCTAAGTAACAACAGGAGGAAACTCACACACAGCACATTCATCCCCATCTAAAACATAATTTCTGTTTTTCAATCTGAGATCCTACCAAGACCTCCAGGGACCCATTCCTTTAAACTCTTCATCATGAGACACAAGACTCTTTTTTCACTGACAAATAAAAATGTTTAAAGTGAGGTTACCATTGGTCTGTGCCAGCTGCAGTGCATCTTTACTATCTTGCAGACTTCCACCTGTAATCAAAAACTTGGAAGAAGAGAACTTCTGTCAGTCGACGCACTCAGCCTTGAGCAAACAGACACAGAATGCTTAAGAGGACGCTCAGATACAAGTAACAAGATCAGAAGACAATAAATGCTAACATATATTTAAGAAAATTTCATAAACCAGTAACAAATCTCAATATACCCATAAGCTTATTCTGATATGCTAGTACTGATGTACTGAAAAACTAGACTGGAGTTTTTTTTCCTCATCAAGTATTTTCCACGCTACTCTATATCAATTAATAAGTTAAATGCTTCTATTTGCAGCAATATTAACTTTATTACACAAGAATTATTACTTTTTTTCTCAAAGAATGGTATACAGAAAAGTATTCTTCCTGTCTTACAGTTGGAGAAGCAAACAACCAAAAAAAAAAAAAAAAAGAAAAAAAGGAAAAAAACCTCCCACAAAACAACCAAAACATGGGACTGTGAAACAAATCTAAAGTATTGGAAAGTAGTTAAAACATTAAGGAAATTTTATAATTATAAAAAAATACCTTTTTAACACCGACTTTGACTGCTCTCTCTACCACATCTAGAAAGTCATCTGCAAGAGTTTACAGAAACATCCCAAGTTAAGTATGAGGTTTTACAATTTAACTACTTTTGAACTATAAACTACTTTCCTGTAGTCAAAATACATACATATTGTGAGAGATCTTTAAACCACATTTGATTAATTCTGTAGAGGGAACAAATGAATGCTGTAATTGAAAACTGATTCACACCTGAGAAGTCAGTGGGAATTTTTCATGTATTTCAACAGCCTACGTATCTAAAGAACATGAGAGCCAAAAAGCACCAGTTATAATGAACATGTGGCTCAGCAGTGCAATACTGTGACAGGGCTAATTTTTCACATGGCTCAGGCCAGCTTCTTTCAGGCTCTTGGGTGCCTCCTGTTACATACACAACAGCAGTAGTTTTCCATTTTCCTCCGGAAGCACAGATACCTCTACAGTAGCTCAAGAGCAGTTGAATATCACTTTGAACATAATTTATTTTGGTACTGTTTCCACTTCAAGCAATTGTAAATAATAAACCTCCAGCCTTTGAAGAAAAAGAGAAATCCCATCCTCACCTTCTGACATTTTTTTTAAGCAAGAGAAACTTCCAGCAGATAAAAAGAAATATTCACCTTGATGTTTCTGTGTTCCTCTGTAGATTCCTCTGAACATGGGATCTGTCAGGTTAATACCAATATCTATCGAGAAAAACACCAGAAATATGGAATTAGGTGTTGCAGTCGCTGTACAGTAGGGAAGCTGGTGAAAAGCAATGTCTTAACAAGCCCTGACTGCCACATGGACGGGTCCCACGATGCTTAAGGTGGGTTTTCTCCCCGGATTTGAGAGCTCCCTCCTTAGTAGGAGCGAGGAAACAAGGACGTTTGGGCCCTTTGGGCAACAACTCCAGGCTTATTAACGCGCATGTACACAGCAGGCCCTCAGGCTCACCCAAGCAAAGGTATACATGGCTATTTACTGCAAATAACCGCCCTTTCCGCCTAGAAATAAGAGCGTTAACTCAGCCAGCGGCTGCCCGCGGGCTGCAGCGCGGGGAGGGGGCGAAGTAG